ATAATCGATCAATCACATTCACGTTATTCACTCGTGTAAAGTCGGGCACCACTCGGGAGAATTCGGAAATGCAACGGTTGGAACAGCCGCTTCCCTACTGCTTTAAATAAAAAAGTTGACAATATTTTTTTATATAATTCTGGTATAATTGCTGTTCAGAGTGGGCTGCTCTCTCAGCCATCTCTACTCTCCAGGTTACGATTAATTGATTAACATATTAGTAAGCCGATTGTTTCAGCTCTAATTTCCATTGTAAATTCTTAGTCTTCAGCATCATGGCAGTAACAGAAAAGGCTTGGATTGGAAGGCAACTGGACTACTCCTGGATCGATGTGGAAAGGTCTTCAATAACACTGAGCTATAGTCTGCTTGCCTTCCAATTTAAGCCTGTTTTGTAAAATCTCTCTTATCTGTTTTTTACTACCTAATATCATGCATGACGTTCCCAACACTGCTGCTTTTGCCCTGCCACCATCAGCATTAGATCTTACTTGAAGCGGCTCTTCTCCTCGAGGTCAGTAGGGGGCTCTGTGGTGATGAGGCTGACGAGCTCCTGCATGCAGTGGTCCTGGGAGAGAAAGAGGAGCAGCCGTCTGTTTTGGGCCTTGCACTCCTGTAAGATGTCGTCTTCCTCCATCAGCTCTCTCAACGTCACGTCTTCCTTATCCAGCAACTGGTCGATGTGGGAGGTGGTGTGCAGGTCAAACTTCCAAAACATGTTGACCGCTGGGATGGGGGGCTCAGCCCTGGATGGTACGGAGACAGCAGAGGAAAACAGGAAAGGTAAGGGATGAAAGCAGGAGAAACAACCGGAGAACATCAGTGCCCAAACTGGGCTGCTTTATGGCAACGGTAGTCAGGAAAAATGGGAATCTCTACAAAGTTAATGATATGATAAAGATGAAAAAATGAGACAAACTGGAATTCCTGAACCAAATAAACACAATCATTATAAATCTATAGGAGTGATGCAACAGGCTGTGAATGTGAAGAGCTCTCACATACCAGTGGACGAAATGTGGATATCTTTAATCAGACCTCCCCCACAGGCAGGCAGGCATTGGTGTTTGTGCAGACAACAGAGACTGTGACAAGGCGTTGCATTTATCAGCATGGGTCTTTCTTAAAACACAGGTCTCTTTGGGAGATGATCCACAGCGAGGCTCACCATAACCTGCAACAGATGGAGAAACGTTCAGCATGGCGTTTGAGAGGAATGTTCAATCTGCAAACAGGACATTACTAAACGTATTACATGTTATGGACTCCATCTATCTGTAACTTAAAGATTAGCTCAGTAACTTGCAAAGGATAGTTATTAGAAAGGGAGCTAAAAAAACTGACAGATTTGCAGTTTTTCAATCTTCTCACATTTGGCAAAAAAATTGAACTTTTTATCTTCCCTTTAATTAAATGTTTCCATTCTTCAACCAACAACACGCACTAAAGGACATTTTTCAATGTTTCAGTAAAAATCCAGTGATGGTGCCATAACACCTTGGATGGTTTTTATTTTGTCCAAAAGGTAAAAACTTGAACCAACAGGTCAGAGGAACAAGCAAACTATACATTTCACCAGAATATGTATCCATTCATCCATCCTTTAGTTAAATGATGCTCTCTCAGCATTTCAGGATGATCTGAACTGATCTCTGCCCCCCTGACCCAGAAAACTCTAAATCGTGTCATAACCATAACACCAAAAGAAAATACTGCATATTTGCACCATAGATATTTAATTCTTCCATATCTATGCGTTTTTGCACCATGTTTTTTTTCTCCACGGTGTTTACATTTGATCACTGCTGCTCTTTATATTATGGAAAGGTCATGAAAGCTGTACAAAATGAAATTTCATTTTGAATATGCTGGTGAAGATTCTCAGTCATCCAGGTCAGAGTCATTTCAAAAAAGTTAAAAAAAACAATTCACTGGACTTTGATTCCAAATTTGGAATGGCTGCTTGATGGTGAAATGCGTTTTCTAATTTTGGCGCACTACTACGACATCACTTAGTGAAACTCCCAGATGTTTCAAAAAGCAGCTCTACACATCACCAATAGTACTCTCAGTTTGGATCCTATTACTCTACAGGGTCGACATATAATAATTTTTTGCCCTATTTTTGCAGTGTTTCATCTTTAAATAATGTTTTATTTTATGGAAAGTTTGAATATTTCCACTTAGTTAATCATATTGCTTTACGGTGCCATCTAGTGGACAAGTCAGGTCGGTACGGTTGTGTACATTTTAATTTGAAGAGACCGTTTCTCCATGGGAAGTGACGTGTTTGGCAGCGCAGCAGACAGATGATGGCAGCGAACGTGTTGGCCGTCTTTAGATCGCATTTGTCTTTCATTTTTAAGGTTGTATCGCTGGTATGTGATTTCTACAAATGTATTTTATGTTTGTTAAATACTTGTGTTCTTTTGTCGTGACTAGAAATGAGTTAAGCAACCGTAACTTTTCATTTGTAACAAGCTATTCCTCATGAACCAGAGGGTCGGCAACATGGCGTCTCTGCTGATTACTGTTTTATCTTTAATGGGGTTCTATAATTTAGATTATACACAGTGCAGTTCAAGCATTTTATGGACAAACAAATTATGTAATTGCAATGTATTTTTCTTGTCTCCATTTTGTCCTTTTCTTGTTTTACCCTTTTTAATATCATTAAACCTGCTTAGACACACCAACGTCTGCAGAGTCATTGATGCAAGAAAGGTCTGACCATAACAGCACAACTACAATCTCTAGAAATCAGAGCTTCAGCTGTTCTGACTCCAAAATCAAGAGTCAATACGTCTATTAAATAATCAAGAACCCAGAGAGGAGGATCATTTCTGCAGTGATCAAATAAATGATGTTTATATGTTTTGATTTTGTTTGTTAATGGAATTAGATGAAAAGGGGTAAAACTCTCCAAGGGTTTTATTGTTTTTATGTTGTACTTCAATGCAAACAAACTCCAATGTAAACAAAGAAGATGGAACAAACTGAAACCCAGATCTAAATATAGATTTTTTATTTTAAAGTCATGGTTGTGTGGGAGTTATTCAAATTTACAAGATAACTTATTTACATAGTGTCACAATTGGAAAACTGTTGAATACCTTTTATTTATCCATTGTCAGGTCTAAAAACTGACCTCTGTTAAATTTAAAAACCTGAAAAAGAGAAGTTTTTCATTGTTTTTCCTGAAGGCATTGCTGTAGCTCATCCAAACAACACAGACGCAGCGGCACAGAACAATGATACCTGCTAAGCTGTTTCTGGCACAAAAGGTTAAACAACTGTTAACTATGGAAGTAAAGCGACAGAGGAAATCAAAATGCTTCCTCCTTTTTCTTTGACTTGTTTCTAAAAGGAAGACGGTTTTTCACACAGACTGCAGCGGGTAGCAGCATCCATCTGGCTCAAATCAAGAGCAATAATGACCCGCTGAGCACTCGGCGGGCGCTGCAGAGAAGCAAATACGTAACTTTACATCCAGAACAGAAGTCTCCAGAGGCTTTCTCAACAAAACGGTCTATTGGTAAATGAAACAGAAAAAAAGACTAACATGCAGATATCTAGTTCCAACAAAGTCAAACAACTAAAGCACTGAAATAATAAACAACTTCAACTACTATTTATTGCTGCATAAACAAACACCTATTAGTAAATAAATGGGTGATATATTATGCTGAGAACCTAAACACCCAAACATGTACTGGTCATTGCATAATGGGAAGATGTGACAGATGTTGTGACAGATGTGACTATGAAACGATCCTCAGAGGCCACTGAACTGGAGCAGACTGGTAATGTCTGAGCCATGGATGAATCCAGGATGCAGTGTTTTCCTCTGCTGTGATATTTATCCATAAATCCTGATCAATCGAACCAGGCACATGTTGTAGATATGCTAACCTGAAGGACTAGAAATGTTCAAATCTGACTTGAAATTTGATCTGAACTAAAAACTGCTTCGCTTCAAGAACACCTGTGTGAAACGTCGCTCACACTGAGCGCTGTTAACAGGCCGACCGCCTGCAGAAACGGCGCTCATGTGGAAAGATTTTTATGTGGGTTTATTCTTCTCCTGCTGTCTCTGCTTTTCCTCATAGTAGCTTCATCTGGTCTGTTCCTGTTTGGCTGTGACTCCATCCTGGAGAGAAACATCAGCTGTGCTGCTGCCTTTTGTATCTATGCTTCTTTTTCTATGTCTGCTTCTGTCTCCTTGAACCCCAGTTGGCCTCAGCAGATGGCCGCTCACACTGAGCCTGGTTCTGCTGGAGGTTTCTTCCTGTTAAAAGGGAGTTTTTCCTCTCCACTGTCGCTACAAGCATGCTTAGTGTGAGGGATTGCTGAAGAGTCAATGAGTCGATGCAATCAGCTGGTTTTCCTTAGATAGAAAACTTTGAATCAATCTGACTGGATGATCTGGTGAAACATAAAGTGACCTGAGATGATGTGTTGTGAATTGGTGCTATAGAAATAAACTGAACTGTTCCAGGAACTGTAGAACCAGAGAGACAAATTGTTTACGGCCGTAACCAAGGACAGGAAGAATGCGCGCCACGCTCAAAGATGGTCAGTGGCAGTTCTACTCCCCGTGTGAGACCCACTCCAAGCGCCAGTTATATTTCTTTCGAAGCGTGCGTCCCGCCCTCCTTTATAAAAAAGCCGCCCTGGCTGCCCGGTTCGCCCCCAGTGTTGCCAACTCAGTGACTTTGTCGCTATATTTAGCAACTTTTCAGACCCCTCCAGCGACTCTTTTTCAAAAAAAACAACTAGAGACAAATCTAGCGACTTTTCTGGCGTCACTGGCGGCTTTTGGAGACTCTTACGTGAAAGCACGTATCATTCCTACTCTTGTCCTCCAGCGGCAGGTGCTGCTGGGGGGCGCCTCCCCCGTCCCAACCCCGCAGGAGTCCCTCTCAGCGCTGCAGACAGAGCCACAGCAGGTTTACCCTCAGCAGAGCGAGCGGGATGTAAATGTAAAATGTTATTTGGTCTAAAATGAAAAACTGAATATGAAATGTTTTATCTTAAATAACGGCAACAGTCACTTAATCAACTTGTCTATTGTGTTTTCCTCTCTAAGATAATGATGTGTAGGCTCCTTAGTGGACCACAAGGGGAAAAAGAAAAGTAGAAAAGAAAAAGTGGCCTCAAAAAATGCACTTTAAGGGGAACGCTGTTTTGTTTTGTTTTTTATATTGGGACCTTGATTTTACATTATTACATCATATTCTACTCACTCATATGAGTTTTGTGTCATTGGGAGCCGTTCTGAAGATATTCTGTTAGGTTATATCCAAGTAACGTCTTCCTATGAGCAACGACTTGAAGACACAAACTAAACTGTTCATCATTTATTCTTTATGGTACGCCAGCATTCAGAACATGTAGGCCAATCACTGTCCCCCAGACATCCGCCGCTATATTTTTTAAATAAATAAATCAAGTCATCTTGAAAACATTCTTCTTCCAAATGTTGGCTACATATTACGGGTTTTTTC